CCCCAAAACCCCAAAACCCCATCAGCAGAAACTATCAAGATTTTCTATTTAATAGAAAGATTAATGAAATTAAACTTTTTTAAGAATTCAATAGTCAATAAATTGATAAATCACTTCACTTTTTTAATTTGCGCATCTTCTACAACTATTGTCGTGTTTATCAAATTAAATTTGTATAAGACATATCTACTTAAGCCTGTTTGATAAAAGCCAGCTGTAAAACAAGGCATAAAGCTTTTACCCCATAGAACTAAAATAAAAGGATCATTGTGAGATACTACTAATGTAGAGATAATGGATGATAACATGCCGATAAAAGTAACAATAAGACTAGGAATTAGATATTTAAACGGCACTTCAAAGTGCTTAAGCATATCTTTAGTTGGTAAAAATGTATCCTCAAATTGCAAGCCAATTATAGCTCCAATCACTGTTGAAGTGATGCTGTATTTTTCGAAATCAGTTAGCTTTGGGTCAATGTTGAATTTGCGAGTGGGGCAGTTTTTTCTAGTCATTTCGTACCATGACTCAGGGGTAGGTCTGTAGGAAATGTTATAGAAATATAGAGCAGTTTAAATGATGTATCCGTAGAAAAAGACCTTGGTAAGTGGGTTCCAGAATTTCTGAGAATTCGATAAAAATCTAAACTATCTTGAAAAGTTATTGAGGTAGTCTACTATAACATAGCATAGAAAATAATAGGTAGAAGTTCCCCAAACAAAACCTGAAACTACTTAGTTATAAGTATGATAGCCATTGTATATTCTTGAAGAACCAATCAATAATATCAAAACTACAGGAATTGACCATGCTCTAACCTTGTTTTATACTTTATATTGATGAATGTATCTATCTGTGATACATAGTAACAGTGATGCACTAACAAAAGAGTGGCCAGATGGATCGCCGTGTTCGAGACTGCATTTCCTAGGGTATAAGTTGTCAATAAGGAAAAATGGGCGTGGTTCACAGTGGATGCTTTTCAAAAGAATCACAATAGCGCAACCAATTCCTTGAGCCATACAGCAAATGACTATGCTCTCTGTTGACAAAACACAAGCAGCAAATGAAAGGAAAAGTGCAATTCCAATCCCATCTCCTAGTTCACTCATTACCTCAAAGAAATTCTCGGCGTGTTTGGAATGGTACTCTTCGTTCATCATTATCTAGTGCTTTAGCGATACTTAGAACAATAAGTCTTTCAAGAATACATAGTCGATCACGATAAAAGCCAGGAGAAAGACTAGCAGGTTTTGTAGTTTATTATGATCATAGGAAAAGTTAACCTACTTGATTATTGCTGATTATGTTGTCGTCATTAAAGTTTAATATTTATGGGTAATATTGCAATTATAGTTTAACTGTATTTATTTTAAGAGTATATTGAAGCGTAGTAATTATTTTTAATATCATCAAATCTTACGTCACGGGGTTTTGGGGTTTTGGGGTTTTGGGG